TATTGATTTGCACTTTCGATGAAGAAGTCTTAAACTGAGATATATGCACAAGCCGGAAACACACCGTCCTGAACTATTCAGAATCTACATGTTTATACKCAGTCCTCGAGGATTTCTTTTGGTTCGGAAACATGGCCACGGAACATTAGCGAAACGTAAGGATTCAGATGAGATCTATRYGTACTCGGCATCGAGCCATGTCAGGGGATGGTTTTGTTTTATTTTTGTATTCTTAGGTGGCAGCTAGTAACTAGTAGTGTGGTAAAAAAGTGAAAAGAAGCGTATGCATGCTTTGCAATAATATWGGTGGGATCGTTTCTTTGTTTCTCTCTTTTTCCATGTCTACAGACGACGACCACGTCGTCCAGACTTGCGTCGGGTGGAATCGGAAGGAATAGGCGTGACGTCCTCAATGCGTCCGATCTTCAATCCGTTTCGTGCCAACGCTCGAAGRGCGGATTGTGCTCCTGGTCCAGGACTGCGGGCCTTGGAACCTCCGGTTCCTCGGACCTTGATGTGGAGGGCGGTGATGCCAAGTTCCTTGCACTTTTCGGCGACATCCTGGGCGGCAAGCATGGCAGCGTAAGGAGAAGATTCGTCACGATCGGCCTTGACCTTCATTCCTCCGGTAACTCGAACCAAAGTTTCTCGTCCCGAAAGATCGGTAACGTGGACAAAGGTGTCATTGAAGGAAGCGAAGAGATGGGCAACTCCGAAGACTTCCTCTCCGTCTTGRATGCGGACACCWCCGATTTTTTGGGTTCGTTCTTGGTCACTGCACGCGAATGACAAATGCAATCATATCAAACCGAGGCAAGAGCATGTGTACAATATGAAAAAGGTATATTTTTATCGTGTTCCGGTCGCGTGTTCGGTTCATTGGTCCAGTCAAGGCAGGAGACAAGGTTGTTGTGTACAGTCACAGTGAATCATACGTTGCGTTCCCAGGGCAGAGAAGAAGAGACAAAAAAGACAATGGATCAGAAACTGGAATGCTATGAACTACACGCCATGGATGGTTCAGCGACAGCATCGGATGGCCGCAATCCGCTCTAGATGAACTGGAGTGCAAGAACAGTGCCTAGCACTCTTCGAAACATCCTGTAACTCCTCATCATCTCATTGTTATTCATTTCATTCTGCTCGGATTCGTTACTCACGTCATGGTTGAATTACTAATTACTTCTATCCCTTCAAATAAAAACGATGGTTGTAGCAGAGCTGTAGCCAAACAACATGTAGCGTAGGATGTAGCGGTTCAGTACTAGTAATCTTAGTAAGGGGAAATACCAGACTGCAGTGCTGCGTGTTACGGTTCATTTGGGAGGAAACACCCCCGAAGAACGAATKGCGGTGTGACAGCAAGACGGGTTAGTACGGCGGTAAAGGAAACACACGTGACTCAAATCTCCTTGCATGATTGACCCATTGGTGGTTTGGTTTTGAGTTTTGAGTTCGATGTGATGGAGATTGCTGTATTCGACATTCGACTGGCTAGAATCAATGGCAGGCTTCATTTTCCCAGTATCGTACGGTACGTACCCGTACCAGGTACGAACGTACTTATTCGAACCGTCAAACCGTACAGATAACTGATATTCATACTGTCGAAACGTAAGGTACGTACGAGTACCTTGCTACCGTACTTCTATTTCCGACGAAACCACAAAACGAAGATTACCCTCGAATCAATCGGGAGGAAATTCAAAACAGTACGTACGGACCTAGAACGAGACACACGACACGACTTCTTATCGGCATAAACTTCATCGCTTCTTTTCTGCCCACCTTCAACATACGGTAACAAAAATAAGCAGCAAGAATCATCGCCACAACCGATTCGTTCCAGGAAAAAGGATAAAATATTGTAAACCGAACGTATCTCATAACATAATCAATTAATCAATTAACCGAGTAGAAACTAAGGAGAACTGCCAAAGCAACTCACCGTATCATGACAGAAGATGAATCATCCCCGTCGGCATCCTCCGCGATCGGCGCCACGGAAGAACAACACCAGCAACTATCTGCCATCGAGACTCCCTCTGTAGATAAGAGACAATACAAACACATTTCATTGAGCGGAAGCAACGGTGTGCAAAACTCCAACAGGCTCCAGGTCTTGCTTATCAGCGACCCCGAAACCGACAAATCTAGTGCCGCGATGGACRTTGGCATTGGCCAGTTCTGCGACGGAACACACCTTCCGGGAATCGCCCACTTTCTGGAACATATGCTGTTCATTGGAACCACGAAGTATCCGGATGAAAATGCATATGACTCGTTCTTAAACTCCCACGGGGGATCCTCCAATGCCTTCACCGACCTAGAGCACACCTGCTACTACTTTGACGTCCAGGAAGAATCCCTCGAAGGTGCCCTGGATCGATTCGCCCAGTGCTTTATCGGGCCCCTGTTTTCCAAGGGAGCCCTGGAACGTGAAGTTCAGGCGGTCGACAGCGAGCACGCAAAGAATCTAATGCAGGACCAATGGAGGATGTTCCAGCTTTCCAAGTCCAAACTGGTTGGGGACAACAGCAACCATCCCTTTGGATCCTTTGGAAGCGGTAATGCCGAGTCCCTCCCTACCGTGACACTCGGAAGCAGCAACGACGACGAAAAGGACGAGGGCGAGACCAAAGACAATACCGATAGCGGGACGCACATTCGGGAGCAATTGCTCGAATTTTTTCACACGTATTATCGAAAAAGCTTGGATCTCTACAAATTGGTCGTGCTCGGAAAGGAATCTTTGGAAGACCTCGAGGCTATGGTCAAACGCTATTTCGTGGAACTCGTCGACCTTTTTGGCAATGACGACGGCGATGAAATTAAAAATATCAATATGGGTTCTACAAGGGATATGTTGGGAGATCTCTACCCCCCTCCTGACTCATGGCAGGTTCCGCAGCGCCTTCACGTTGTTCCAATCTCAAAGGTCCACGCCCTGGAACTCCAATTTCCGATGCGAGAGATCAAAACACTCTACAAGAGCAAGCCCACGCGGTATCTTTCTCACTTGCTGGGACATGAGGGAAGGGGCTCCCTTCTGTCCCTTTTGAAGGCGAAAAAGTATGCCACCGATTTGTACGCCGACGATGCGTCTAAATCCTGCGCTTCCTTTTCCATCTTCACCATCAAGATGGAATTGACAGAGTTGGGACTTGAAAATGTGGACGAAATTGTTTCAATGGTTTTTGCGTACATAGGACTCCTGAAAGAACAGGGGCCACAGGAATGGATTCACACTGAAGCCCAAACCGTCAGCGACATGCAGTTTCGCTTTTTGAGCCAGCGCAATCCGATGGATTATACCTGCAGCGTTGCGGGATTTCTTCAGCAGTACCCACCTGGTTTGTGTCTGAGTGGTCCCTACAAAACTTTTGAATGGGACGCCGATTTAGTCACCGAATGCTTGGCGAGTCTGATCCCCGACAATCTCTTTTTGATGGTTTCGTCACCAACTTTTGAAGGAAGTACACAGGAAACAGAAAGGTGGTACGGAACTCAATACAATACGGTGGAGCCCAACGAGGCACTGTGGAGTCACTGGAAAAATATTGAAAGCAGTGCATATCCTGCCCTCAGGCTGCCCTTCGTCAACGACATGATTGCTACTGATTTCAGTCTGATTGAATCGCCGTCTTCGGTGCCTAAGAACAAACCCCAGTGCATTCATCAAGACTACAACCTTCGCTTGTGGTACAAACCCGACAACGTTTTTGATATGCCCAAGGTCAATATTATGTACCATTTTTCCAGCGGGCAGGGTACCTTTTCTCCCCACGCAATCATCGCTGCACAGTTGTTCRCCGAACTAGTAACGGAGCAGTGCAATGAATTCAGCTACGAGGCGACGATGGCCGGCCTTTATTGTCAAATAGCCCCGTCTGCCTCAGGTCTCGACCTGCAGGTCTCTGGATACAACCACAAAGCCCACGTTCTAGTCGAACGGCTTTTAGATACGATGATGGATCTACTCTCTGACGAACAACCCGACAGCACACTTTCCGAACTGTTTGATCGGGTAACCTTCAAGACAGAGCAGGCTTTTCATTCCTTCTTTGTCGGTCAGCCCTACCAGCACTGTATTTACGGAGGCGATTTGGTCTTGGAGCAGCGGACTCCTATAGAAGACAAGATGAACGTCCTGAAACAAACCAACTTGTCAGATGTACTGACCTTTGCTCGGAGCTTTCTCAAGCACTGTCATCTCGAGGGTTTGGTCCACGGCAATGTTTCTGCGCAGCATGCCTACGACATTACCACCACAGTGTGGAGTAAGATTCATCCTTTCCAGAAAAATTCGCTCGATGCGATTATTACCAGAGCTCCGTTGGAAAAGCGTGTTGTTCGATTGAGTGACAACCATGGCAACAAGAATAACTCGTCTTTCCTCTACAGCTTCCCCGAATTTAACGAAGCCAATACCAATTCGTGTGTGGAAGTAATCTTACAAATGGGGGCCTTGGATCTGAAAACCAACTCGACACTTGCTCTCTTTGCTCAATTGATACGAGAACCTGCTTTTAACCAGCTGCGTACCGAAGAGCAGCTGGGCTACATTGTTCACACATCCCTCAAGACGAGCGGGGACCATGTCAAGAGTCTGCTGCTTTTGATTCAATCCGATTCCTTCGATCCTTGTCACGTTGAGCAACGCATCGAAGTCTTTCTGGAAAATTTCCGTCAGCGGTTGGTAGGCATGTCCGAAACCGACTTTCAAACTTTTGTGGATACTGTAGTTGCTAGCTTTTTGGAAAAGGTTCGTGTCCCTCGCTGTGCAACACTTCGTCGAATGGCATCGATATGGTTGTTTCCTGTATTGACCATGACCGGAGGTTTCGTGGTCCCATTCACTGTCGTGCTCGATTGGATTCGATCACGTTTGATTTGATGCTTGGTCTTTTTTTGCGCTCTTTTGGTTTGCTTATTTGTTTGTGTTCCACCTTTCTAATTGCTTTTTCTTCGCTCTGTCTAATATATTATTTATCTCCACCTCAGAACAAAAACCTCGGTGAGGAATCGTCTCGATACTGGCACGTGATTCTAAATAAGACGTTTGACTTTGCAAGATATGAAAAGATTGCCGATCACGTGAAGAAACACACGAAATCACAAGTTTTGAGCTTTTACGACAAGTACGTTGCGTTGAATGCACCCTACCGACGAAAGCTTTGCGTCCACGTTGTAGCAAACCAGCACGAATCGGTTCTGACTGCAAAGCTGGGAAAGGATATCGTGGAGGATGGCGTTCCTCTTGACAGTGAGGAAAATACGACGGATACGATTTATATTGAGGAYCCAATCCAATTCCGAAGATCAATGCCCCTGTTCCCTATGCCTGCTAAAGTGAATGTAGATGTAGTCAACCTTGGAATCAATAAGGGCGGAAATGGGGGAATCACAAGAACTACCGGTGCTTAATGCCGTATGGTAAAAATCATTTATGATGAATATGGGGTTATATACCTTTAGGTAGTAACCAAGTAGAATTGACTTGAATGAAGGAATGGTCCATTTTGATTCTTTAAGCTATTAATTTCATTATACTACTATCAGTACGTCTTGTTGAAGTGATTTTGATGACGGTATCTGTTTTAGATAAGTCGTTTGTCAGGAAAGGAAACAAGAGTAACAGAAGTTGAGTACTTTGGTACCACTTACAACATAATTTCGTTGTGAACTTCAACAGTCCAGATAGGTTCTGATGACTGGAAAAGTGATTCTTGCAGTGGCATTCAATATGAAAGAAAATGAACTGTGGAACTCAGACAAATTCATGTAACATATGGGATGGGTTTTGAAAATAGAAAGAATTACTAGGGTTTTAAAATAGAAAGTAATCATGATTATCATTCATAGCTTTCTTATTCTCAATTACCACTTGATATCAGTTGCCTCTCTATGCTTTTTTACTTGGAAGTGAAAATATCAAAGTCCAATTAAATGATGCAGGAAAATGTTGTACTGTTCCAAAAGTTATAGAGCAATATTTGCAAAGAGGCTACTACTAGTAGGAGGCAAGTTACATTATAGTATGCATGGATTTGACTGATGCAATAATGTGATTGGCTCAGCAGAGAAAGTATTCATTCAATACTTGCACATACCTCCTCAATATTACAACTTGTTGAATAATATCGGAAATATCATTTGCCCATCACATCCAACCAACCCCAACTCAAAGTAGACTCCTAGCAACAGCACCATCTTAAGCACCACCAACTGGCACTTGTTGATGCTGATTGAAGAGATGTTGTTGTTGGTAAACACAGGATAACAGATCTTGGGTGCCATGAAATTTCTTCCATTCAATCAATCCAGATTTTTTTCTCAAAAATACTTGATGTCAGGTCAGATGACCTGGTTGGTACTAGACCCTGCACTCAAGAGAGCACCCTACACATTTCAAGCACAGTAACTCTATGTCCACTAAAGACTAGCTCAATGGCAAGAAGTCAATCAGTTTATGGATCAGCATTTTGAAGTTTCCAAAGTCCCACAATGGCCAGTAAAAAATTGTTTAATGGTTAGTACCTTTGATATCTCTATAATCTACTATTGCATAGGCTTGGCCACCAGCCAATCTACGATCGAGTTGTACATTTTGGGCCCTTATTTTGTGTGTAATGACTAGTTTGACTAAAAAACTATGCACATACATAATGCATGTGCTCAATACTTGCTGAATTTTTTTATCCCATAGTCTCCCGACAAAATAGTTTTGTGCACATGTGCTTTTTTCTTCAACACATGGCTGCAATTGCCGTAGTATTGGTAGCACAAGACAAATTTTTATCCCCCGAGTCTTTACATAGTAAAAAGATAAGAACCCAAAATCAACACACAGTACAATTTCACATAAAACATGCAGAAAGTGTCAACTCACTCTAACAGCTATAACTTGGTCCCCAATGGACACTCACTAAAATATGATAGGCACATGAAATTAATCCCAGTAAAAAGAGGATTCTAGTCATATGGGGGAAATGGGGGGTCCTACTAGTAGTGGAATATATCAATATAGGTGTACAAATATAGGTGTACAAATATAGCATTAAAAATTTACAAATGACACGTCCAGAAACGGGTGACCCCCCCTACACAATAATTTATTGAACCACTATGTACCACAACAAGCAATGAATGTTTAAGAAGCCTATTTATTCAAAACTACACCTTCCACCAGTCTTGTTGTTACTAGTATCTGTTTTTGTTCAAAACTGAAAGAGTCACAGAAAGGCACAAGAATTCAAACAAGCATATTCCCATTTTTGGATTACCCAACTATTGTTGATTGACACAATTCTTTGAGTCCTGTTTGGAAAATAAGAATGTTTAGAAGATAAACCCAGAATACTACAGAATTCCTTGTTCTTGTTTCTCTTCATGTCACATTGGTATGATGGCATTTATAACATATACTATACTACTACACACTGTCCAGTATTATTGTCATGTTTGTTCTGACTATGGGTTTTGATGAGCTGAGTAAGTCTGTTGTTGCTCATAGTAATCTGTGAAATTTACTCATGCCCTATTCATGGTGATAGCCACCAAGGAGAACATGGCACCCCATTGATGTGTTTGATGTAAGAATRAAGTAGGAGGTTGGTAATACAGAAACTTTGTTCATTTTGTTCAAAATCATGCTAGGAAAATGTGTTCTTTCTTCCCTTGAAAATACAGTTAGATCAGCTTTCTGCTGCTGGTATACTTGGTGGTACTACTAGTGGTCAATTCAAGTTAGCTAGCAAGTTACATGTTGTTGAGATTTTACATATATCTCCAGTTACTTCCTATGGGGACTACTAGTAGGAGGCAAGTTACATTATAGTATGCATGGATTTGACTGATGCAATAATGTGATTGGCTCAGCAGAGAAAGTATTCATTCAATACT